TCAATTCTCTGCCAGTGATAGGTCAGAAATTAGTACTATTGTACATGTACTACACAAATCCAAATTATTATGACTTTTCAACTCATGAAATGCCACCAGAGACCTCGAAGTAGCTGGCTATCTTTACTTCAGATCTTACATGTCGACCTTTTGGCTTATAATATATAGCTTGTTTTCTATGTTTGCAGGTCTAGCAATTTTCTTTATATTGACTTGAAAGACACGTGAATTTGACTTGAATTTTGCTTTTCAAAAATTTTACTTTTTATTAAACCAACTGGTGTTCTTATGTTTTGGTAACGAAAATGCTATATTCAAAGGCGTAAGTATAGTCTGTTAGGGGTTTAGAGTCGATTCTCTGTGATAGGGCAGAATTTATTAAGTGCTTATGTGAGCCCAGTGAGGAATTTAATCGCCCGGGAATGCAATTGCTACTCCTTGGGCTAGCAAATGTTGTCAGAAGCTAAGAGATTGTGCTTGGGCTAGAGAGATCCAGGCTATTTTCTGTCTGATTTTGCTAAAAGGTCCCCCCTAAGTTTTCGCTTGAACACGGGCATCATCCGTGTTCAAGCCAGGCGTCAGCTGAGAGCCCAGGCCCAGACCTATACGTGGGTGGGTGGCTTCCTTGTTTTGTGTGAAAACCAGGGGGGTAGGGAGGGGAGATTTTGTCACTTTGGTTAGAGTTTTATGTCAGAAAGCAGTGCAAAGTCAGAGAATTTTTCCTGTGGCCTAGGCCAGGCAAATCAATGCGGTGACTCATAATCATAACACTACTAGCAGAGCTTGGGGGAAGTGATTGACTAGTCGTAAGCTTCATGGGTGGGGAGGGTGAGTAATGGCTCTTTGGACTTGACCGTCTAGAGATTCAGTACAGTAGGCACCTTGTATGAAATCCAGACAGATTATTTAGCTTCACTTTTTTGTTGAATTTGGTAAGAAGGATATGTTTTTATCTAAAGAAAGGTGTGTTACTGTCGCGAAGACAGTGAAGGATTATTGAACATTCATCGCATGAGAACTTTGATTCTAGCAAACGTTTGTATCAAGCATAAGAAATAGTATAAATAGGGAAGCAGTTTATCAAGGGAAACAGTGAACGGTGGGTAGCCGAAACAAAGCGGGTACAAAAATGTCTCGGAAGAGTCCATGGAGTGATGAAAGTGTGAGTTGAAATGTTACGCAACCGTCGTCCAAAGACTAGAGGCATAGATTCTGCAAAGAGAGGCGAGCCAGCTGCTAAGTTCGCCCTTTACTCAAGAAAATTAAGGCATGGGTCTTCGTTTTAATTTCTCAAAAACTGATGGGGTGGTCTAACTTCTTAAGCTTTCAATGTAGCACAAAATTACTTAAGGGCAGACTTCCTGAGCATAATTTTAATAACTTTGAATGATGATTGGAGGCGCAAATTGTCACATGACCTTTTAAGGCTATTTTTAGCACAAAAATGTGTTTGGCAATATGCCCCCACTTTTAGTTACTATCTGGAAGTTAAGGTTATCGTCATAGTTATGAGACTAGTGGGTGCATCATTTCTGTGTCGGGGCCTTTTAAGTTGATCTTTTAGCCAGGAACGAAAGTCGAAAATCGCTTGATAAGGGGACTGGATACTAGTATAAAAAATACATTTATTGTAATAGACTTTAAATAAATTATTCAACAAAGCCATGGCACAGATGCCTAGTCATTCATCAAGGGACATGTTTGGTTACAATTTCTTTGATTGACTGCTATTATGAAATGGTGCCATTTCTAATTAAAGTTTTTTTTCGTGCAAAATGGCCGTTAAAGGACTCGTGACCTAATTTACACATTCCTTTATTTGGAATCGCATAAACTTTTGGGAGTCGTTATTTTACTCAAGTTTTGTCGCTATAGGCCTTAATCCTCAAAATATAGACCATCCCTAGACTTTTTTAGGGAAATTGAAAAAACACCCATGCCTTAATTTCCTTGAGTAATGTGTGTTACAAAGTTGTCTCCTACGTATGTCCCGTAACCCTGCAATTATGTTTGGACGTATAAATCCGGTGAACGTGAAAAAAAAAAACAACAACAACAACAACAAAAACAAAGAATAGGAATAAATGTCTTTATTTCCTGATAGACAAACGAGGTGCTTAGGGTGCACAGTTCTCACAAAAGAAATCGACAAAGAGAGAATGTAAACGCTTTGAGACTAGAGTGATTAATCTACTTATTCATCTTAACAAGGAATGTAAGGCCGTCAGTGAAAAATTTTGCATTGTGCTATGGGGCTTTTGTTTCTTTCGTGGAGTGTGGGTAAAAATGCCCCCGTGAATGAAATAAAAACTGCTTTATGGTTACATGTTGTATGGTGTGATTTACGTCTGCTTACTATCTTTAGTCGTCGCCGAAAAGAAAGTACATAAGGGAGTTGCATGTCGATTATTCTACCGACAGACTGTAACTCTTCTGTCAATCAATTTAATTTCAACTTTCTGCACTGTCTGAGATTAATTGACGTGCACTCATCCATTCTTCTGCCTTTTCTTTCTATGACTTTGTCAGCGTCCGCCATACACAGCAACAAAGGTAGGTTTGCTAATATAACAGGTCACTTATGTTAATCGGTCTTTCGACTGCTCCAGATTTTTGTACATTCTGTGTTTCACCGCTATAACTTCTTTATAAGCCATCGCAGTGACAGTTATTATTGGTTGGATCCTCTTTACTCATACATTTGAAACGTTTTTTAAGTATTTTTTTTCGGAACAGTTCAGTTCGTAAAATATTAATCTAAAAACGCTGTTTTTTCGAGTTTTGATCTATGGGGCGTTGCGAAAGTTTATTTGACATCATAGCCTGTCAAGCTCTGGTCAAATCACAGTTTCCATGAAATAAAATTCAACCAATCAATGTACTTGCTTTTCTTTGTATTCCAACAAGTTCAAAATCTGCAAAACAGATGTAATAACTTAATCGAAGGGTCAGAAAATAAATTATACCCCTTTCTGGCTTAGTAGATTATCGGAGGATAATGCCCTTGACTCAGTCCTCAAAATTTCACATTTTAAAAAAATGTTTATTTTTAAAACAATCCTGAAGAGCTGGTATTATCATCCGATATATATAAATAACGCTGTATATTATAAAAGAAAGGAACATTCTGTTTATGACCTCTTCAGGACACGCCCAATATCGCGTGATCCAATACAGAAAATCACTTTTTTACTGAAAAAAATACGTGTTTGTTCAAAATATTTAGTGCTATTATAATCCTCATTTACATTCGCAAAAAAAAAAATGAAGCATGGGTTTTTCGATAAAGTAAAACCTTACAAATAAGAATAAAAAGTCTGTTCCATGAAAAAAACATTTTCTGACATGATTTCCCGTATTTTGAATATTCGCCAAAAGCATGCTTAATCCTTGTTAGCAGTTTAATTTTTCGACTAGTTTGAATAATAAAGTGACGACCTCTCTTTTCTGTTTGAGAAAAATGCTTTGTAGTAATTAAACGGATGTAACACGCAACACATGTAACTTGACAACACGTAACACGCAATAGCCAGTCCATCAAACTGCCTAGAATGGCCTGGCGTGCGTCCCGAGAGACGTCCGTCTCTCTCCCGATAGATCAAAAAAGTGGCCCAAAACGTTAATTTAAGCTACGTTCTCAAACAGTGTAAATGACCTTAGGGTGTTCAGAATCTCGCCGATCATAAAAACATTTTTAACAAAATTAAGGAACCGAACTGAGAGTAAAGAAAGCAGAACTTTATCGAATATTTGCTGCAGAAAACCTTTTATTTAAGACTAGTACATCCCAGAGTGAATATTGTCAATGTTTTAAGGTGATGTTACACGGGACGATTCGCAACAACGATTGTATGTTGAGCATTAATTGGGAAAAATTAGCACAACGTCAAAACAGTGAATGTTGTAACGCTGATTTTTGGCCGGTTCACCTTAGGTTTGTCTTGAAAATTAAAGATGTTTCAGAAAATCAATTTTAATGAAAGTTTCAAACACTATTATATACATCATGAAGAATATCTGATGAAGTTAAAAATAATTCTATCGAGCTGTTCCAGAGATCTACCGAAAAACGCTAGAAGTGGAAATTTAGATTCAAGTTGCACTTAGACAGGTGATGAGATAACAGGTTAGTTTTTAGGATCGCAAGAAAGAAAATATACACAAAACTTTTCAAGGAGCAAAATATGATATTAGGCAACATTCTGACGCAACTTAAGATTAATCTGAGTTATTTAAAACTTTTTTTTTGAAACAATTTATCATGGCTATTGAAAATATAAGGTCTGTAAAACGGGATAAAAATGGATTTGTGCAAATTTGCTCCTTGCAAATATGTCGCAACTATATAAATACTGAGGAGTAAATATATGGCAAACATGGTAAATGCCAGTTATTTACACTCCGGATTTTCAGTACCTGGTCTAGATCGCACAAAATCTTATCGATTTCAAAGTTTTTTTTATTGTTGCCATGGTGATATCGATTTTACTTAAAACTGCATTTTGACAAACTTCAATTCATAGTCAATCACTGCAGAAAATTTTCTGGCAAGTGGTGTGGCCTCTACAAAACTGTATCGAAACACTTCAAGGCACTAAAAATACTCACAAAAAATGAAATATTTGTTTTAGCAATTATAATTATGACGGTTTGCTGTTGCTCGATTTTTAGTTGATTCCAAAACGAATCCCAGTCGGAAAAAGTGTACGAATCTCCTCCTACAAGATAAAGGACAAGGAACTCACAGTAAAATCAGAAGACAAAGACCTTGGGATCTGGGTAACCAGCGATCTTACTTGGTCCAAACATGTTTTAGAATGATGTGCCAAGGCAAACAAACTGCTTGACTTCTTGCCAAGGTGTGGCTCGGAGATAACCAGTGTATGGAGCCGCCGAACCCTCTACTTGTCTGCTCTTCGGCCTATCCTTGGTTGCGCCAGCCAGTTGTGGTCTCCCTAGTCCATCGAGCTTATTAGACGCACAGAGCGCATCCAAAGACGAGCATCAAAGTCCATACTAAAGCTACCCTTCTTGTGCGCAGAGTCTTATAGTAAGAGGCTGATTTCCTTAGAACTGTTGCCAATATGTTATTGGCTTGAATACCTGGATATTATGTTCTTTTTTAAAGCCATCAATGGACTTGTTAATATATCTGAAGAAGTCCTACCTACTCCTATAGAGCCCGCGCGTGTAACAAGATCAACTAGTAGCGGAGCTCCCGCGCGCGAAGCGCGCGCAGCGGAGCACCATAGGTAACAAAATTTGGTAAACTATCCATCCGAGAAAATTTGGTTATGAGGTAGCGTACGCCCGCCCACCCGTACACACACTTCATGTAAGCCGAAGTCAAATGTCACAATAGATGTTGCGCAACTTGACTAGCCTTTTAGTTTTGTAAGCCATCCGTATGAGTACGATTAGATTGACAGCTGTCAAAATCAGACATCCGCTGACATATAATTACCATCTCGCGGGCTCAGATGAAAGACCAGTCGTTTTGCCCCTACATATAACCTGATATAATATGTCCCACTTACCAATTCAACATAAAAACGAAACTACCCCGGACAGGGCTGTCAGTCGGCTGACAGTCGATTAAAGATATATTGGCAAGCCAAATTAAGGTCAATTGACAGCTGTCAAAATGGGATATCTGCAGACCACTATCAGCAAACTAATAACGTGGGCTCAGGTTCGCTCAGGTACACGATCTGGCATTTTCCACAACAAGCCGGACGGATATGTCGTACTCACACTAGTAGTCTGTTAATTGGAATATTAACCATTCTAATGAACGTTAATTGACAACTGTCAAACTAGAGTATACGCTGACCATCATCACCTGATTGCATCGCGGGCTCATTTTTCTATCCATTGACGTCGCGTAGTTTTTAAAGTTTTCCGCTGATATTTTATTTGATCACAGGCTCAATTCGAGGCCCCATAGCTAAGAAAATCTATCCATCCTAGAAAATTAGGCAATCATGTGACAGTACACCGACTACCCGACCTTCCGAAATAGTGTTTCTGCTGAACAGTATCACCTGACCGTATCGCGGGCTCAGGTATCGACCCACTGAGCTCGAGTGTTTTGAAGTTATCCGCTGACAAGTTGCTACTTTTCAAATGATCGCAGGCTCAAGTTCAATGTTTTTAAAATGCATATGAAGTGAGTTGTGTTCATGAGCCGCACTTTTAAAATTTTTGATTTCGAACTGACCTCGGACGTGAAAATTCAACCGGCTTTTATATGCAGGGAAGGTAATCGCTTTTGACTTTTCTCACTTTCATGCGTTGATCACGCTCTAAGTCCACTTTTTGTGTTCTGATTGGTCAAAATTTGACAGGTGAGTTCACGCAGAAAATTTCTGCAGCGTCTGGAAACTTGCTTACTGATAGCCGAAGCTGACAGAGTTTTGTGTCGTCTTGTGATGTTTTAAACTGTCTTTTTCCACTTGATGTACAAAATGAAATACAGCTGCTATCAAGATTGTTCTGTAATTCATGGCTCCTTTGTTTATTGCGCTTTTTGTTGACAAATGCACCGCTTGTCAAAGTCATTGGAAATCCGATTTCGGATGGCATCGTTTTCAAAAATGAGCTTACTCACTTGCACTTGTTTGAGCGTAAGAGGGTTGATAAGTCTCAAACACTGGAACACTTGATGACTTTCAGAAGCAGCATCTCTACTGGTAAGCCTGAGCAATTATTGTCTTTGATGTGTTTTTTTTTTTCGGTTTCCTGAAGTCGAGCGTATGGTTTATGCGGCTTAAGTTGACACGAGCAATGATCTAACCAACAAAAGTATCATGTTTAAAAAGCCTTTAGACATTTTTTGACCACGAATTCAAAGAAAAGGTTCCGAATAATATTTAATTCTGATTTTGGCTGTAAAAAAAAAAAAAGCTCTGCTTGCCTCGAGTTCATCTTGAAAAAGAGCAAACACAAGGAAGCCGGCTTAAAACATAAAAAAAAAACTTATGCTTACCTGACTCATGATTTTCAGAGACACTTTACTCTCAATACTTGTCTTCGTGAATGAAAATTATTGTCTCTGTGCATGTTTCACCGAATTATATTGATTATATTGATTGTTAGCAGTCCTTCTCGCAATTTTTATCGCTGCCTGATTGTTTCCAGTCGAACATAAACATCGCATGCAGGAATACTCAAAACGCCGCGCGTAAATTGTCACTCGCTTTTAAAGATTACACATAACAAAACCGTAAACAGTTTTATAAATAAAGGGAAATAAAACCTAAACATAACAAATTCTCTACCATGTTGAAGCGTAAATGGTAACTCTTTTAATCGCACTGCAAATTTGGTGCCTATCAAAAGTGTGAGCCCATCCGGCTGTCACTAAAAGCCCATAATCATTATCCTGCATATCACATAGGACCAGATTTTCCTAACTGAAAAGTCCCGGCATTATGGAATTCTCTTCATGAAAACGTTTTATAATGTGGTCAATGCTATAATTTGTTGTGCAAAGGAAGCGCGTGCTTTGATCACAGGTAACCCAGGCTCACTGTTAGTGTCACGTTCGGATTTCAGGGCGAAGTTTAGGTCTGTAAATTTGCTAGAAAATGGAAATAAAAATCGGTGAAACTTACCATGTGGCAAGTTCTTGTTCTCCTTAATGTGTACACGAAGTTTCGGGAAAAATAGTCTGCTTCACCGTCCCTTCATAGTATTATATTTCGGGGTTGTCCAATTATTAATCTCTCAAACGGAGCAATGTTGAAGAGACTGGTGAATGCCACATTATGATTCAACAGCTAATGCAAATACAATACACTTTCCAGGCCTAATCTACTGTGATCGAACATGATTGCTATTTTTGGGTGTACAAATAAGACTATTAACTTGATGTAAAATTTGTTTCACTCTTGGACTGTCAAATTATTTTTCTGTAAAAACACTTAGCCTTTGCCTCAAAAGTCACATGAATGTGCCCTGATCTGTGGATTACAAGTTTATTGTTTGATTTAAATTGTGAATTTATTAAAGGGAGCTTCGCTTTTAGCCCTGGCTAAATCTATATATTATCGGAGATGTAAAATTCTTCCGTCCACGTAAATGTAATACCGTTACATACCAGCGCTCTTTTTTTTAATCATGTCACAAGAATTTGGAGCTCACTTCCGCCAGAGTTAAGATCAAATAAGTTAAGCTTAGCCCAGTTAAAGAGACTTCTTAGCGATTACTATGCCTCCGCCCTACGGACTTGCTGTAATGCAGAGGAGCCCAGAACATGGAAAACAATTTGCCTAAAATGTAACTATGCTCGCCCTCTAACTAGCCTCGTCGCCTGCTGCTTTTAGCCTTTTCCATCTAGCCTTCTTTTTTCCAATCCTAATGTTGCTTTTACTTTTGATTTTTTGTCAATTCGGGCCCACAGTAATTGATTTGTCTGTTATGGTACCACTGCCATGTAAATGTATATGTATGTTACTTTATTTATTTTTATCATTATTTTAATCTTTTTTGGCGAAGATTCAACCTTGAATTCGATTTTAAATCAAGTTTATTTAGGTTTGGGTATGTATTCTTGCAGCTTGAAAAATTACTGGCGGACGTGAGAAATGTCGCTTTTGAAACACTGGATGGATTGCCGTCAGAATGTCAATGGTTATCCAAACATCTCAGCAAGTGTGCTTTGTTTGTGTGTAACAAGTGGGACCTTGTGCCAGAGAAAGAAGCGAAAGATGTAGAGAATCATGTGGCCAGCAAACTGCAATCTTGCTGGCCTGGAGTTGACCCTAAATTACAAATCATGCATATGTCGACCGCAAATGCCATTACGGCCCAGAAACACGGCTGCATTACGAAAGAATTTTCCAATTTGATGAATGGAATAAAGGCTCTGGTAGAAAAGAGTGTTGGAGCTAGGATGGAAATTCACTGGAAGTAAGTATTATAGTCCAGCAGTTGGGAGTAAAAATTGTGCCTTTTATGATAAAAGAATGAAACTTGGGACACTTGCAGCTCATATCTTTTGAAAAAAATTTAGATATAGGGCCATCGCAGATTAGTCACGTGACCAACATGGCGGCGTTTTTTAAAAAAGGCGTGGCCTTTTTAGATTTACCATTAAGAAATCTATAGCAGTTAACGAAGTAAATTACACTTTAAGGTCAGGATGCTTCTTACACCGTATTTGTTGTGTCCTCATCACAATACTCACATCGCAGCCGTTTACTGTTGTCATGGCAACAACCTTATTACTTAAAAACGTCATGTAAGCACTAAATGAGGTGTAAGCATGGGGTAAAAGTAAGGATAATACAGAATTTGGTTCTCTTATACCAGATTATGATACACATGACAAAAGTGCAACATGATGGTGTAGAAAAAACTATTGCAAATGTTCGATTATAGAGCTTGGTACGAACATAGGGACAGATTCGTATAGAAAACCTGGTTTCCTGCTGTTTTAAAAACACCACTTTAGAAATGGAAAAAAACGACTTTCGTTCTAAGAAATCCTTACTACCATGAATAAAAGCTACATGTAATAGAAAGCGTAGAAAGTATAGAATTCAATGCTGTTTCACCATGAAAAATCCTAGTTCTCAGTGCATTGTCCACCACATTGACATAGAGCTGTGCACTGCAGAGCAGCCTTTGAGCATTTGCAGTTCTTTTTGCAACCTTTCTTGCAACCACACCTCAAAAGTTCTCTGCAGGCCACCGTTGCTTCTGGCAGTGAGGTCCAGTTGGCTTCCCAGCTGCATGGCTCCTTTCTTTTCCAGCCCCATTCACTAGGGCATGGGAGATCAGGGCTTGAAGTCGTCGCTTGTGCCCAGCAATAACCAGCTTGATAGACTGCCCGCTTGATGTGCTGTACCAGGGCTGCTTTCGTCGGTGGAATGTTTTCGATCGACCTCTCTTTTTGCGCAAAGAGGTGTTTCCTGGCCTGATTGATGTCTTCTAGGCTGCTGGTGCGATCATACAGCAAAATCACAAATCGCTCCAGTGATGTAACTGAGCTCTCCACAGACTCTGGGGTGTTTGCCAAAGAGACGATTATCGATGTGATATCGTTGTAGGATCTCCACGTGTCCCAGGCAGTTCGTTTACCTCTTCCTCCAAAAAATGAAACAGTGTCACACCCAGTAAAGGAGTGGAACATCGGCAAGGCAATACATCGGTCTGGTCCCAGTATTCTGGCCATCTCATGAGCGGCCAAAAAGCGGAAACTTTTTCCTGTACCAAAAGCGATCCAGATTTCAGTGTTTCCGTGGCGCTGTGCTGCTGCCACTGCCAAAACCACTACATCGGTGTCAACGGTACCAATGGATATTTTGTTAAATTCTTCAGTGACAGCGTCCTCCAAGTGCAAGATGATCCTGGTATCTGCTTCTTCGTGTGTACATGGGGTAAGCCTCGAAACATTTTTTGACTGAGTGCAAACTACATCAGACTGAATAGTGCTGAGAACTTGCTTTTCGGTTTCGATGCATGGCACTTTTTTTGCCAGAAAACTAAACAGTTCTACTTTGTTTTCATCAGTGCGCAAAAACTCTTGCCAGTTTCCTGGAATTGGTGTTGAAGCCTCTACGCGTCTTCGAACTCCCTTTCCTCTCTTAACCCTCGTTTCAGCTTTCAAACTGTCAGGGCGGTACTCATCCCAAACGATGTCAACTCTACTTGCTTGCTGCAGCTGGGACGCTACGTATGGAAGAAAAACTTGCGAAGCATAATCCGAGAAAGTTTTTGCTGAACCTGGTCGAAGCATGTTTACAATGACAGAGCCATCGAGGATGATAACTTCCACACTGGGATGAGTGGCATTCTCGCGGGAATTAACCAGTTCTTCCAGACAACTAACAAGGTCAGACTTAGTACCGGTTCTCAGCTTGCCGTTTTGTGATAATGCTGGAGGGTATGCCTGATTCTCATGCTCGAAAAATTCATCAAGATTTCCATTGCGGACCTGTGATGCAACGTTAAGACGTGAAAAGAGGGAGCAGTCATTTTTCAGCGAAGCAAGCTGTAGCTGCGACTTTGTCTTTTCTCGGATTGGAGGTCGGCTAAATAGTGCCAAATTGTTCTTCTTGATAGATTGATAGGCTCCCAGACGGACTTTGTTTGATTGACTAGCCTCTCTCCTACATAGATGTCATACTGCTCTTGTCCCAATTTCTCAATTTTACGAACAGAATCAATAATGGCTGGATCTGCAAGGTCTCTACTGTCCAGAACAAGAAGATCGTTGCTGTTCTCGGTGAATGGATTTCCCATTTCTTCGATGGCTTTGGCGAGATCTTCAACATTTTGTGTAAATTTTTTCTGCACGTGTTTGGCCTCCTCATGATGACGGAAATCTAAACATTTTCTTTTCTCTGTTGATGCTTCAAACTCTTCAATAACTCTGGCCATCTCTGGTCCAGATACCATCCACCGCCGCAATGCAGCCGGATTTTCCGTTAAGCCAACAGCTCCTCCGTCATCTTTCACAGAAGCATTGTTCTGTTCATGCGCTTGATCAATTGCTATGGCCGAGAATCTGCGTTCTGTCTTCTTTACAACAAAATTTCCTTTCATGAACTCAGCAAAAACAGTTGGATGAACGTCTTTCAGTGTAACCATGTCCCGTAAATGAACAGGGATCCATCTAGCGTAGTGAATTTGGTCTAGAGCAAAGAACCACGGAACAATTTGCGTGAGTGCGTCAACGTACAGCTCGAAGTCAGCTTCTCTAATAGCTCTAATGTAGATCAATACGGCCAATTGCATCTGCAGGATAAGCAACCAGAACTTGAACTGTGGATAAAGCTCTGCACTGTGCGAACACCACTCTTCTAATGACAGCAGATTCTGGTCGGCGCTCAGACTGACAAGATACTGAGAATAAGCCTTTTCAAGAAGTACAAACAGACTTCCAGCCGTGATCTGATGGGCTCTTCTAGTGCGTGTCACATGAGTAACGCGACAAAATGAATCAGCCGTCCCAGGCGTAGCAACACCGGCTTGTACTAGAGCACTTCCCCATCCACTGCCATCTAAGAGATTTCCTATGGCCTTCAGAGCTGCCATTTCAATGTGCAGTCCCCCAAACATCACCACAAACTTATCCTCACCATGGGTTCCTGGCCAGTTCCACTGGATTTGCTTTGCAATTGTGTATAGAGGTTGATCTGCAGTGATAATGGGCACCTGACCAGGATTTAAACTCTGCACTGCTTTGCTAACAATGTCCATTGAGTGGCGGATCATGGCTACGGAGTGGGCTTGATCATGAAAAAGAGGCAGTAGAGAGGTTGCTGTGACGCAGCATTCGGATGATTTACTAGAAGGTTGCAGACTTGCATGGTATGCAGACCAGGAAACGGCATCAGCATCTTTTACGGTCTCATTAGTTACTACTCGATTTACCTCTTGCAACCACCTGTAAATTGTACAAATAAATATCAGTTTTGTAGTTATTAATACTGCAGTTACAGTCACCTAGGAAAGCAATGTCAAAAAAAAGATTTTTGCCAACTTTACCGGTATTCCTTCACTGTTTCTTCAGGAATGCGCTGGCACTCTCCTTTGTTGGGCCCTTGAAGCTGTGAGATGGGTGGGTCGTCCCTACGCAAAGCGACAGGAGGCACCGTTGTGTAAAACTCTGGTAGCATTAATGCCTTCTTTTGTGCACGTATATTGTCCTGAATTGCGTCAGCAGGCAGCTGAACTCCACTGTTTTCGTCATTGTTTTTCTCAGTGGGGTGCTGAAAGAGGGATATCCCAGTTCCATGAAATGAGTCGTGAGAGCTAGTTGAGCTGGGATTGTGGTCAATGTTGTCTACTGCAGCGGTGGTGAAAATACCACCTTTCAGTCGAGGGGGACAAACAACCTTTTTCTGCTGATAGTAGTAACAAATGTTGTTTCCCAACTCAGTGGAGATTTTTAATACACGGTCATACGATATACACAAGCCAAGATTAAAAAGAGTGTCCACAAGTTCACGTTTCCTGGTCTTTGTATGAAGCATCACACCTAAATAGACTGATAGAGGTGCTTCTCGTTGTTGGCTGTCTCGGACAATATCTGTATCATTTTCCTTGTAGCGCTTCACGCTGTTGTATACAAGAAGCTGAGACAGAGAAAGGGCAGCCTGAGACACATTGGAGGAACGTGATTTGATATTTGGTCCATTAAGTACCATAGTGACCAGTGCTAGCAGTGAATTAGGCACAGACTGTTCCTGGCAAGTAGTGGAGAATGAGCCATTGAATTCCATTTTCTTACTGAACATATCTCTTCTCACTATAGTGGCAGCCCTAGCAAGATGAACAGCATCCCCATCAGCGTCATGTTCACATGCTTTTCTCAGTGCAGCACCAACATCCCCGTTGAAAGCCAGAATAACTTCACGGCCTTGGGTATGAGCTTCCATGTCTGAAAAGTAGCTCAACACTCTAATCTTGAGTTTAGTTGAGTGGATGCGTCCCGCTACTTCTGTTCCAAGTTGTTTAAGCCTGTTACTGTATAGACTGACTAGGTCAGACAATTTCAAAATTGGTGCTACCAGATTGTCCATTCTTGCATCTTCTATATAAGAAACAAGTTCAGCAAAAGCAATGCCGTGATTAACGGCATCCGCATCACTTTCTGCACTATATGTTTCGGTTCCTCGTGCTCTGTTATAAAGGGAAACAAGGCATTTGACATGATATTCAGCATCTTGAGCTACCATGTCTCCAGCACTTAGTTTGGCTAATAGAGGTTTGTCCTGTAACTGTAAAGCGCAGTGACAAACTCGGGCATCAAGCTCAAGTGTCGATGCTCTGTGCAAGGAGTCTTCACCTTCAGCTTGCTTACCACAGAAGAAGCATTGATGAATAGGGTTTGGTAACTTTCAAGGCTTATACGCGTGTATTTTCTTGGGCTTTTTGAACTTGAACTATCATCTGGAGCTGCTT